CCGTGGATTTTTAATGAAATTAATTCGGAGATAGATTTGGATGTACAACTCGTTTAAAGCTATTTTTCCTTCCGATACCACACTTCCATATTTAGATTGGCTTTACTGCGCTTTAACAACGTATTTGTGTTTTCAAAAAGAATTCCAAAGACATACTACGTACTGCTTTCGCCTTAATTGTTGCCATCAGATCTTCGAGCTCCGGATCTTCGATTGGATACAACATCAAAAGCTTCGACGGCCTCGTATGTCGTGTAACCTCGACACGTCAACCACTACGCCACATTTCCACGAGTACCTTGGCGTCACAGGGCAGATGTGAATATCAAGGAAGGCCAAGCATTTTCCCATATCACATTCTTTGGTGGGATTGTAAAAGAAGCAAAGTTATATTTTCTATAAGTATCAATTACATCATCATCGACAATCCCATTATATAATGTGATATAGAAAATTGCTTGGCCTTCCTTGAAATTCGCATCTGCTTGTGACACATTGGTACTCGTGGTAATGTGGCTTAGTGGTTAACACGTCGAGATTGCAGACTTCATCGTCACGGTTCGAGTTGCACTAGGGCTGTTGCGAAGACCTAAGCGAGGTCGAAACCACACTCCACCCTGGATAGGAACACCTATTGGGAAAGCAAGGTTGTGTGAAATTCAATCAAAATGTCCGCTCTATTCATGTCATTGCAGGAAATTTCAGCTACCAATCCTTCATCACCTCCAACGAAATAGGGTGAATACATCTCAGATAACTGATTTACTGGTATTGTCGATACCCAACCTATAAACGTGCTTAGCTTTCATTCGTCGTATGATGGATTTTATCAAAGCTAACATTTCTTTAGCTTGAATATGATTGTAAGGATGATGCCCTATTGTGCTGATGTTGGCCAAATGGAGGAAAAAAACTTAGCACGTTTTCACTGAAATCCAAGAAGATTGTCTCAGAGAACAGTGTCAAATAAAATGCTCCAATAAAACAAATCGACACCTGGTCAAGAGAAAAATGCCGTTGCCTTCTGGTGGGACCAACCTTTGAATCTCTTCACCAAACACCGTCCCATAAAATTTATGTGAGCTCGACAATAGAAGAAATTGCCTCGACTTCCTTGAAATTCACATGTGCCCTCTATCCAAAAAGCACTAAATGCCAATATGACAATATTGTTAGCGTTTCTAGATAATATACTGCACTAGCGCAAACTGGATTCACTTTCTGTTGGTCA